AAAAAAAAAAAAAAAGGTGGATCACCCTAAATAGTGCTCCAAGTAGCTTTCAACCTGAGCTGAAATGCACTGCAGCTGTTTCGTAGCTGTATCTCAGTCCGGTTGAAGAAGGTGGTTTGGGTTGTCTTCGTGAGGGGACGTCCCCCGCTAGGCCAACCCTGGGCGGCCGGAGGCCTCCGCAGCAGTGCGGGTGCAGCGGCTGTCCGGAGGGGCGCACTTGCTGACCGCAAGGAACCAAGCCCTGGGGAGAAGTCTCATAAAGCTGCCTAAGTAGTTGTTTAGTAACAACAGCTACGTTGTACAGTGTCTGCGTGCAGCAGCTTTCAGACTAAGGAGCTCCAAATCTGTGAGGAAACCAGGTGAAACTTGCCCTGCTTGACAAGAAACGTTTTTTTCAAATGTGCCTTTAAATTGTTAGGAGAAGGAAGGTGGGCTTGCTGATGAATGCTTGGTTTGTTATGCAAACTTTGTGACTTAATAGGGCCGTCATTTTAATGTAGTAGTAGTGTTGGAGAGCTCAACCCTGAGAGTTACTCAAAGCCTGTGGGATTTAGGTATTTCACCAAAGATGCTCACTAAGTTAAAGCTGGAGCCTCTTAGTCCTGAGTTCTGCAGGAAACTGCAGCTGTGTCAACACACACCGATCTCTTTTAAGGGGAGCAGTGTCTATTTAAAATACTAAAAGAAGACATTGATTTAAAAGCGTTAGCCATGTGTACAGCGACCCTGAAGAAGTTGTAACTTCTCTGCTACTTATTTTCGTAATCGCTGTTTCACCTGGTCAAATTCCAAAACAGAAGAAGATTGCTCGCAATTGGTAGCAGGAAAACCGCTATGAGAGCAACGTGGAAAGAGATACATGGGGCTTTTTGTTATTAGTGAGGTGACGCTATCAGCCACCTCTGCTGCTGCAGCCTTTGAGTTTCGGTAGGCAGTTGCACGGTCCCGTTGCCACTGATGCGTTTGTCTCATTGTGTAATGCCTGTGCCTTCGTAAATCCTTTTCTTCAAAAATCCTTTATCTTTTTGCTGTGTATCTATGCTATCTACGATATTTCAGCAGCAGATGATTGTTTACCCTGTATAATAATCTCAAAGTACTATGCAAAAGGTTAGCGATCACTGACTACATGCTCAGTAGCTGGGGTTTTTTTTAATTTTTACCTGTTTGTACAGCCATTGTCCCTAGGAGCTCTACTTACAGCCCAGACTTGTAGGTGTGCTATCTGCTTATTAATACACAGTGCAAGTTTGGTTCCACATGCAAAGATAAGGCTGCCAGCTGCATGGCTAGCACCTGGAGACTACCAAAATAAGGAGAAAATATTGTTTTAGCAAGAGCAGTGATTGGAGGTCTTCAGACTTTTTAGATTTTTGTGTAGTATTACATCTGAGGAGAGCTTGGAGGAGAATTTTGAGAGGTTACTATATACATTTTGTGGATGTTTATGGATGGTTGATTTAAACATTGTGAACAAATTTTAGAAAGGGTCTGACTTGAAAGTGTAGTAACCTCGAGACTAGCACTGTGGGCTGACTGGAGGGGAACTTCTCTAGAAAATTGGGGGTGCTGTGCTGTGTACAGAGAACGTAACTTCTTATCGTAGCTGAAAAGGTAACATTTCCAGCTTTACAGCAGAAGGTGGTGCCAGTTTGCCACCTTCCATTAAGGCTCATTGTTAGACTGCGACATGACTGGGCAATTCAGTTCTCCATGTTTTCCTTATAAGTGTGAAAGTCTGTGTACTTCTGTACAGCCACACTCCCTTGTCTGTATTTTAATGGCTGAAGTCTCTGTTCCTAGTCCTTGACTTAGAACACAGCAGAACTGTGTAGTGCTTAGACTCTGTGTGCATAAACGCTTCCATAGCAAGCATGTAGCTGAAAGAAGCAAAGTGCATCTGTCCTGCTATTTAAAGTGCTAGCCATCAGTTTTATTTGTTGTTAGTGGGCCGCAGTTTCAAGCAAGTTATTCCAATCTCTGGAGATGGGTTAGACCACTACACTTTCTGGATAATTTGGTAATTTATAAAGCCTGTAATTAGACCTGCTGTGACAGCTATTAAAAGGTGTTCTTGTTTTCTTCTGATGTCTGTCTGCCCTTTTCTAGGACTGCTCCAAGGCTCTTCCCAAGCCTCTGAGGACCACGTTGGTACGTCTGGTAGTGTGGTCAGACCGGAGCTCTTCCCAAGGCTTCCAGGCTTCAGTCAGATGCCTCTGACCTGCTCTTCCAGGTGCTGTCCAGGGCTCCTCCCAAAATCTATTTTGGGCAGGCTTCTTAGCCTATTCATATATTTATTTGTTGTCTCTGTAAAATAAAACTGGGTAGAACAGAAATTTTAATTCAAAAGTAATTTCTACTTTGGGATTTTCAGAGTAGCCTGTGGGAATTCAATTCACACTATTAACATGACAATGAAGTACTGTTCTAAGTAGCCTGAAAAGAAACGGCTCTAAGATTTATATCTCAATGTAATGCTACATCTAAGGACTCAAAGTAGCATTTGCAAGCTACGTTTATCAAATGACTTAGCAATTGTGTGCCGGGTCTGCAAACAGTTGCTGTAGGTATTGTACTATTGAAATGACGATGTAACCAAATGTTTTCACTGTCATCAGTAAGCAGGATTCCTTATACAGTGAATCTGAAACTTCTATACTGTAGACAACAGCTCCGTTCTACTTTAATATTGTGGTGTTTTCTGGGCCAAATTCTGGTCTTTTAAGGAAAAATGCAGTAATTGAAATATGTGTATTTTTGCAAAGCTAGTTATGCAAAAAAAAAAAAAGTTATTTTAGGAAACAAACCTTGTGTTTGTGGCAAGCCTTTATTTTCGTCATAGCAACGGTACCACCTTGCCTTTTCTTGCCCTATACTTTCAAAAAAGCAGTTAAGAAGAGTGCAGAATTATTATTTTTATTTTTTATAATGTGATAGAATATTTGTTTTGTTGCATGTCTACTCCCATATCCCAGAATTGTAAGTGGATTTTTTTTTTCTTGCACACTTGTCTGTAGGCAAGAAGGAAGAACAAGTAAGCTGAGGATTAAGCAGCAGGATAGAAATGCTAATGCTTTTTCTATGATAAAAGTTGATATTATAAACCTTTTAATTAGGTCTTTGACTTGAGACATATTTGTATTTTCCATTTTTCCTTCTCCTATCCTGTTTTTCATTTCTGTCCTATTCTCTCTTTTTTTCCCCCTCCATTTTCCTGAATTACTACAGGAATTCTCAGTTTGTGGTCTGTGAATCACTGCAAAGTGGTGGATCACTACCAGTTGGGAGATAAAACATTATTTTATTTGTAAAGTTTGACTTCTGAAATGCTAGCATTATGCTGATATATGCCAATGTTTATCTGCTGTAGCATGACTTCTTTATTGACTGGAAAGCAGTAAATAGCAGTAGCATGTAATTATTTGGGTGTGCAGCGTTTAACCATGAGTCTACCAGGAAAAAAAAAAAACAAAAAAAAACTGTGTTGTGTTAGCAAGCTAGCACTGAGCAATGTTTCTGAGAGTGCCTGAGTTCACTACTCCATAGAAACATAAAGCAGGAAATCACAAGTGTCATGTCCAAATTATCTTGTACCTGGCTGATGTTTACTGGCCTTTCAGATCCTTACCTACACTTTTTCTTATATATTCCATATGGAGAGCTTTTAAATCTTCTGCTGTGAGGTTAACAACCTTATGCTTCTTCCCTGTTCCAGCAGAATACTCTGTCGGCCAGACTGTTTTCTCCACTAAAGAGTCACCACCTCCTCCTCCTCCCTCTCCTCTGGCGAAATGGAGGAGAGGTTTGTTAGCAGAGGAGTGCAACACTTCCAGTTTGCCAAGTAGGTGATAATTGGCTCATTCCAAAGAGATTACCGCAGCAAAACCTTCACACTTACCTCGAGGAGAAAGAAAACATAGCTTCACTTCCAGAGCTTGTTGATGTTTAAGTTATAAAACATGTTTAATGTGATGCTTGCTTGATACACTTTAACTTGGTTATTTCACTTCTCTATTGAAAGCTCAAAGAAATAGGTATCTGTTTCCTAGGATGGCCAGCTTTTCACACTAGTTTTCTCCATCAGTCCTAATACAGAGTAATTATTATAATCCTGGCTGTTTCCTTTTCCTCATCTTCCTATTTTCTAATACATACTTATCATTATTATTGATTATACCTAATTAGGATTAATTGTGCTTCAAAGATGTAATACCTGGTCTCTGCTTGCAAAAGTTTATAATCTCAGACTTCATCATGAGTGATAGCAGGACACTAGGGGACAATTAGATGGAAGGACAAGAGTGACCACTTTTTGTCATAGTTAAGTAGTTTGGTATTTGTAATTAAGCTCTGAGTTCAGAGTATTTGCATAGCTAGTACATGGAAGGGAATACTACTGGTTTGAAGTGGTTTATTTATTTATTTCAGATAAATGTATTATCTTAAGGGCAACCATATTTCTCCGATGTATCAAGCATGCATACCTTGTTACTGCTGTAGACTGAATGGCTTGCATACAATAGGGACTCTTTTCTTCCATTTCCTGGGCAGGCTCATTATGAGTCATGCTTCCCTGTGAAGAGGCTCTGTTTATGTGCTTGTCCTTCCCCTGTTTGGAGCTGTATCTTCATTGCTATGCTCCCTTTGGCTCATTTCTGCTTTTTCTCCTATGCTTGGGTCTCTTTTTGCCCCTTCCCTTGTATTCCGGGTTCTGGGATAATGAAACAACAAAAGGAATCAGATTTCCATGTGTATTCTGTTCCCACAGTCCTTCAAAAAACTGATTCTCACCAAACTAGGATTTGTGTGTATGCCCATGTTATTATTTTGTCTAGGAAATCAGGTGTCGCTGTCAAAAACTTCATTCATTTTGCTATACCTTGAATACTCCATGGGAAGCCAAAGTACCTGACAGTGAAGTACTTGAGAAAACAAGGATTCTTTAGTCTGGTAACAATTATATTATCTTTGTTTTGGTCTCTATGGTGGAGAATTTGGGGATGTTCCAAGGCCTAGTTTGTCAGTCCAGACACAAGGTCAAAAGTTCTGCCAGAAGGACAGGAAGGGTTTCAGAGCTGACACTGCAAACCAGGAAGATATAGGTGTAAGCCACAGTTCACGCAGGAGGACTGTATCCTCTCTGAATGAGGAGTTGGTGGTGTTGCAGGAAGGCGATTAAGAATGAAGAAACTGAAGAGGTCAAAAAAGGAAAGGTTTAGAAGCCTCAAGTAGTATAAATGTTTATCTTTAGCCTCCAGTCCTTTGTCTGATAGCTATACTACCTGTAACCTGTCAGGACAAATCGGGCTCTATAGCCACTTGCAACACTGCAGGACATGGTATATGATCTGTTCTGAGGTTTTTTGTTTTTTTTTTTTATGATAAACAGAAGCCAGATGCTTTTGTTCTGGGGATGAGTGGATAAGAGGTAGGGGAATTACTATGTTAGTAGGCATTAACAGACTTCATCTCAGACAAGCAGTTGAAGATTGGTTGGTACAAATGGGCCTGAAAACATAACTATACTAAATAAATAAATACTAAATAAATAATTTTGTTCTGTCTCCTTTCTCTCCCAATAATTTTTCCCTAAATCAGTACGATTTTAACCATCAATGCCTCAAGTATTTCCAGGAAACTTGGAAGTAATGGGATTATAGGGTTCACATTTTTCATGTTACAAAGAGACAAAAATGCCCTCAGGTTGAGCATGTTACAGCAAAATGGCAGCCTAGCTTGTACTGTGAAAGCTAAATGCCATGTTCAGTATATGTAGATAAACAGTTGAACATGCATGTTATTTTAAAAGTTGTGATCAGTCTGGATTAAAAATTCAAAGATGATAATACTTCTAACTAAGGTTACAGAGATATCTTAACATTATGAAGATACTTACAGGAAATGCTTGATGCCAGCTGCTCTCTTTTTATTAAGTAACATCCTGACATTGATACAATATTCACCTCAAAACAAAATGTTATATTTCAACAACATTTAGAGAAAAGCATAAATTAACACTACAGGCCTAGTAAATTAAACCTACATTTCTGCTAGCATTTAATTGCAGTTGGGTAAAACTTCTTTGATGTTTCAGCTTCAAGGGAGTATTCTAATACAACATAATTTTTTTTTCACACTTACAGGATTGGTCCAAAACAGTAGTGTCAAGCTCATGTCCCGGGTGATATTATTCTTCATTATTCTTTCCTTCTCCCAATCTCACAGGAAGCGCTTGCTTTCTGAGTCTCTCTAAAGAGATGTATTCTAAATAGTGGATGATTCTGAGAGAAGCTCATTATTTACTGTGTTATATTAGCCCAGAAAAGAAGCCAATCACTCCCAAAGTAAAGATAAAGTAACAGTCAAGCACTGGAACACACAACAGGTCACCGTCTCCATTTTTGGAGGTTTTCAGGAACTGACTAGACACAGCCATGAGCAACCTTCTCTGACCTGATATCTGGCCCTACTTTGAGCAGGAGGTTGGACTAGAGATTTCCTGAGGTCCCTTCCCACCTGAGTTACCTATGTTCCTTTAACAGTTTAACTATTAGTCTACTGTTATCTGTTGTTGTGCAGTGTGACTAAAAACAGAAATACAGTATGAGGTGCATTAAATATATTTATTAAGTAGTATTATTGGGTACAATTATTAGTAGTATATTAGGTATAACTAAATAAGGGATGTCATCTTATCCAGTGCAGTGCACTACAAGTGTCATCTTATCCAGCCCAGTGCACTACAGGACTTTCTAGGCTAGAGAGTTAAATCGTTGTTGGTGGATTTCTCACTTTTCTTTTTAATTTATTTCAGATAAGATTCCAGGTTTACTTTATATTTTGAAACAAAATGGAAGACATTGTTCCAGCCCTGGGAAATCAACGGTCTGTAGAAAGTAAGTCTTTTTAGTAGAGAGATTTCACATTCACTGTAAAGAAATGTTAAGTTTTCTGAACCAAAATTGTTATATGGTTATTCTTTATAGTGTTAATCTGGGTGGTTGAAGGAGTGGAACTTTCCCTGCTTCTTCTGCCTTTGAAAGTGAAAACTCAGTACAATCCTGGTGATGAAGCACCATATGTACATCCTGTCCGTATTTCTCAGTGCCAGGTAGAGTGAAAGGAAGGGCTTAGGAAACAGTCAATGAATACCTGTGAAAACTCTTTAGACTCTGAATGCCAAGATACTCATCTAAGTCCTGGCACTCACAGAGGAGACCCTGGAACAGGAGTGTGGCTTGGCAGTAAATCAGTGTTTCTGCAAAGGATAGGGTGATAAAAACAGTACAGGCCACCATTCTTGTAGGTAAGCACATGTGTAGATTGGAAAAAAATATTGTCCTTGTAGAATCTGTTTTTGTTTTTTTTTAATCTGTTTTGAATAGTTGCATCTGTATGACAGGATCTGCGTTGTCATCTTTTAAAAATGTTAAGTAGAGTCAGATTCTGTAATCTCATACATAATTCTGAGCATTCAAAATTCTAGGAGAAAGTCCTAGAATTAATTAATTACCGTAATTAATTAATTACCGTAAATCAGAAAAAATGTCTATAGGTTAGAGCTATATTTGACTTATGAGAGCTCAATGGAGATACAGCTAGAAATTGTCTTTCCTGTTTTAAAACACTGCATATTAGTATTGTGGTCATATGATTGCTTGCACAGTGATGTTCCTTTGATTAGATTAGAAGTAGTTTACAAGTTGAGGATGTAAAGAAATTATTGACTCTCAGCAGTAGTAAATCTTAGCTATGCTGAGATGTGCTCATGCCTTAATCTGAAAGTTAGAAGTATTTCATATCCGAGAAAAGATCAAGAATTTTAGTTCTAAGTCATTCAGAAATCTTCATCTGCATAAATGAAGTAGTAGAGCCATCCAGCACATTTTTTCTTCTGTTGCTTCTAAAAGGATGAAGTATTGTTATTTTCAGTTACCCAAATAACCGTGGTCAGATATTGGTATGCATCAGAATTCTCATAAATTATCAGTACAGAATAAGCATATTGTGTGTAGTGCCACTGATAAGTGCCACTGTCTTCTGGTGTCCACTGTGTTCTTCTCCATCATTTTCTTAAAAGTACATTTCCTGTCATCATACAACTGTCAAGTTGCTTTTGGATGAGTCTGCTTTTGGAACTGCAAAAATAGTTTGGATAAAAAGTTGAAAATAGGGTTACGATGCTGCCCACCCAATCAAGCCCTTGGAAATAAATTAGTATCACAGGACTGATTTCAGAGTAGAAAGCCAGCTGCTGGCATGACAATAGGTATTGCCCAAACCTGCCACACCTAACTTTGTTTCCTAGGCCATATAAATAAATAGTCATCTTTGCGTATAAGTGTATCCACACCTCTCCTGTGCCATTAGTTCTGAGTACAATAGGGTCCTTCATCTAGTTTGGCAGATAGATTGAAGTGGGCACCCTCCTGTTTTCATAACACTAGATATCACTTTGATATGCTCACAAGTGGAGAGGGTAATTACTATTGCTGATACTATTGGTGACATTGGTGTTATTGGTTCCCAAGCCTCCTTTTTAGGAACCTGGTTTTATTCAGCCTCAGAAAAAAAACGACTTAAAATTTCAGCTCAATTATACATTTTTTTTTCTCACATTCTACCTAATTTTTTATAATTTTTTTTTAGAAATAGTTTTATTATGAAAAATATTTTAAGAAGTATTTGTAGATTCTGTACTTAGATGTTTGCTTCTAGCCTTTCTGAAATGTTTCCAATAGATTGCTCTATATATAGTTTATAGTTTCCAATCTTGCCAACTGAAAGTGTATTAGGGTGTATACTATGCTCTGCTTTTTAGAGCTTCAGTTTTATATGATCTTTTTGCTTTTTGTGCTTTAGGCAAACAATTTCTTGAGAGGTTTCCTCTTTTTTTTTTATGGTAAGCTCTAAAATAAAATCAGTCAAAAATGAAGGAGGAAGTAACTCAGGAAGTAACCAACAGTCCAACTCGAGACTAATGCTTTGACCTAGGACTTTGGAGTGCAGCAGTTTGCCTTCTTGAGCCTTGATTAGCTTGGAAAACAGCTGAAGTTTATGGTCTAGAAATATCACCAATTTGGTTTGAGTTTCTGGAGCACAGTGTCAGAAAAGAGCAGATATCCTTAGGGTGCAGCAAGATCTGTTCCTAAAATTAATTGAAGGGTAAGCCTAATGAAGCTGTTCAAAACAGGATATGGTGAAACACAGAGCACTCCCTCTGCAAGTAACTCCTTCCTCCTTCTACACATCTCTACATTCTCCATCAAAATAAATAGCTGTGGCTAGTTGGAATCGGAGTGCCACTAGTGCTGCACTTCCCATTTTAGTTTCTGGATTGCAGTGGTTGTGAAGTACTGCAGACTGACTTACCATATATAGATTTTCATCTGTCTCATCTTTTTGCTTTTTCCCATTTCACAGACTATGTCAGTTGTTATCTACTACTCCTGTTTACTTAGATGGAAATTCAGGAAGGTATTGGACCATTATTTCTTTAGAAGTGTGAGGATTAGGCCTGTTCCCATGTTGCAATACTAAACTCACTCACAGTTGCACCCTATTCCAGACTTAACACTGGGCTGGAAAATGTCTAGCTCATCAGTGCTGCAGTCTGCATAAAGTATCTAGCTCTTGTGTTATCCAAAAGTCCAAAAAGCTGTATTTTGCAAGATTTCTATACAAGAGCATCAAAAAGGCTCTGAATAAAATAAGAATCTACCTAAGTTTGTATCTTGAATAAATCCGAACTTATACTTCCTGTGTTAGCAGTAAGCGGGAGAAAATTGTTGTAATTTATTATTGCAAACATTTATTAAAAATATTAGCATTCTAAGAAAGCATTACAGAATTGTAAGAAAGACCTCTCCCAACCAAGATCTAAGATACTTATTTACGAGAAGTTAAGCCCAATTTGTCATTTCCACAAGCAGCATTCCAATTCAGTAGCTGTTTCATGGCTAACATTCTAAGCCCAAAGCCTAAGGAATAATTACATTTTGGTGTGATATCATTTCTGGTGGAAGGGAGCTCCACAGCAGGGGACAGTTTAGCTAAGAAAGCAAAAGCTCTAAGATTAGGTCCAGGATTGCAAAATCAACCATTCAAAACCATGAAATTAAAAAAATAGTAATCACTGTTCTCATTTTTTAAGATACTGATGATGTTGTCTTTCTTTTTTTTTTTTTTTTTGAATAACTAGAGTGGAAAAAAAAAAGCTGATATTCTTATATAATCACCTTTCATCAGAGCCTAAAGAAAAGCTTGCAAAATTCAGAGATTCATTAAGAATTGATAATACTGCGTTGCTCAAATGAAATTGAAAAAGCCTATCAGTTGGATTCCTCCAAATAAATTTGCCCAGAATTTGTATTATTTTTTCCTACGCTCCACTTCATTTACATAAAGCTCCCACTGCATTCTGAGGAACTTATATACCATAACTAGCTTGTGTATCTATGAGGGAATTAAGATGTTCTGGCCTCCCGGTTAATGTTAAACTCCATCTTATGATGTGTTTCAGCCATCATAATAATAATTTCAGACATCCCAATTCCCTAGGGCTCCAAATCATCAGGTCAGTGTCAGCCCTTGAACTTTGAGTTGCACCCTTCCAACAAAGCAGCTATCAACAATTAGAAAACACTTAAACACTCTTGAAGTATAAATTATAAATGAGTAAAACTTTAGGTGCCTTGCAGCTAACCACGTAAGCATTGCCATTTGAGGTTTATTCTAAATATGAATTATAAAGTATGTTAATTTTTCTACTCTAACCTTCTTAACACTGTACATTACACATATGAACTACAATGAAAGTTAACTCTTGTGCTCTGAAATTATTGACTTCTTAGTTACCTCCTGAGCATGTAATACTGATACAGGAAAAAGGAGCAAATTTTACTCTGAGGGTGGCTATGCCATTGACTGACATCTGTGACTTCTATGACCGCCAGTTATCTGTGACTTGCTCCTGTGACTGTCTGTATTGGGAGCTTATACTGGAAGAAGTATAAGAAGCTTATGACTTTCAAGGACCTTCAAGGTCTCAAAAGGACTTTAATTGCTGTACCGAGAGCTGAAGGGGCAAGAGCTGGATTTGAAGGCAATGGTTAGTGTTCTTAGTTTTTTCGGGCTACTTCAGGGTCGCTTAGGGTACAGGCCTGAACGTGTGGAAATGTTAATCTGGAAATTTCATAGTGTTTACAATTCATATTTCTGATACTCAGTCAGTGGAGAACTTGCAGTTTTCCTGCTTTCCAGCTCCCTGCCTCCCCTTTTACCTTTCTCGTTTCAACCGTTATATGCTGCTACCTTCTCAGCAAGGCATAAGAGCGTGTGCAATTTAAGAGCTCCACAGCATTGGCCAAGTAGTTTCCTGTAGCTGCATACAATGGTGTATCTTCTATAATTTCACATAATTCAAATTAGATAGAAAGAGAATCAATAGGGGAGTTTGAGTATGATCTAGGTATTACATGCAGTATTTCCTTTTTTCTACTCATATCTGAATACATATCAAGAACAAAATTCAGGAGAAAATTAGTAATTTGTAATTTCCTCCTTCAGTGTTTTAAATGCCACTTTACGTTTTCCCTCTTTACCTAAACTTGTCATACATTTCTTCTTCCTAATGTTTTTCTGAAGAATGGTTTATTTTTACAATTTTTTTACATACCAGCTGTGTGGTATCTTCTTGTCATTGTGCAGTACATCACTGAGTGTTTCAGTAGAGGAAATAGGCCAGATTTTAGTAGCCTCTACCTTGCCCATTCCAGTTTATCCACTCTCAGCTGAACGTCTTATAATGCCTACCTCAGTCATGCCAAGCTCACGTTTTTCTGAAATGAGTGTTAGGTCCTGCTGGCAGGCACTGCCTTCTGAATCTAAAAGTAGG